TATCACTATAACTTGAGCCGTAACTATCAGATTTTCGTTTGTTTTCGTATCTCGAGTTAGTTCTCGAGCCTCTGTCATGATCTGTATTTCGTGCACCATTTCCATTATATCCTTCTCGTCTTTGATGTTGTTTCAGGTTTACAGGAGGTGGTGGGGGAGGTGGGACTGGAGATCTGTGAGAACCTCTAGAACCGATTGGAGGTGGAGGTACCGGAGGGCGGCTCGTTTGTGCCTTGCTCATAGCGTTGCCAGATCTCTGAGAACCAAACCTTGTACTATTCTCGAGATGATTCCTAGGATCCTTCTGTCTCTGCTCACCAGAAATCTCCTTGCGGGCACTTACCAGCTGTGAAGGTAATGGGGTCCGACCTTTGGAAATGACAAAGTCATCTTTCTCAGGTTGCTGTGGAGGAAGGGGCGATCCTCTTATAGAACTTTTTTCTGACTTCGTTTGCTCTTGATCATTATGTTCAACTAAAGTGGTCTCATTAGAATTGATATTAGACTTCCTCTTGAGCTCATTTTTTGCCTCTTGTATTCTAGCTTTCAAATCAACAGTTTTAGGTGGAGTCTCTTTAGCTGTCTCGGCCTCGGCGTCCATGACTTTTTGTCCTTCTTCAGCACTACTCTTTTCCTTAGTGTCCGAATTATTTATAGGGCTCCCTTTCTTTTGCCCATTATCTTTTGCCTCGCCATATTTAGAGTAATAATCAAATCGTTCCTTATGAGATGCAGCGTTCCTAACGTTGGTTCGAGAGCTGACAGGATTTTTATCATCATAACTAATTCCAACGTTACTTTTATCTAAACTCTCCCTTCCAGCTTTTTGCTTTTCTTGGAATTCTTTTTCTTTCTTCTCCTTCAAAGCTTCTTGTTCCCTATTCTCCTTCAACTCGTTCCTTTTACGAATATGCGATTCTTTTTCTTCATCGGAAAGTTCAATAAAATCCCATAAATGAATCCATTCCTTAGATCTTGATTTTACATGGCCAATTAGAGCATAAGAAGACAATTTTAAATCTTCTCGTTCATCATGAGATGCAATTGTTCCAATTAGTTGGACAATTTTTTCGCAATGATCCTCGACATTGGGATAGACTCCTAACAAATTTTTCAAAAAAGTTATGGCATTCCTACGAGACATGTATTCATTCACTTCTAATGCTTGTCCAATGTCCTCCAAAATTATTGAATGATAGTCGAATAAAATTTTGCGAAAAGAATTGAATTCGATGGATTCACCATCCTTATCCCTTAAATTTGAATTTATTTGAGCAAACTTGGCAGGTGTTGTCCAATAGAACAATGTACCCAAAATACCCGAAAAAAATAATCCCAAGTTTTCTGCTTCGGTTGAACTCAGGGTAAACAAACTACCGAAAAGTATCTTGCTTTTTATCAATTCATCTAGTAAAGCTATTATAGAATAATTAAGCGCACCCAATTCCTGAACTTTAAATAAAAACTTCGCTGAGAAAGCTGCATCGAAAGATGAATGAATCGCACGCGGTAAGACACAAAGCTGTAAAAAGGCTTGCATTTTCAACTTTGGATTTTCTGCTGTAAACCAGTGAGATGACTCTCTCTTTAATCGATATGATACCAGATCATTATAAGAGGAATGCTCTGACATATTTTTCGGCAATTCTTTAATGAAATTCTCATTCGAGCTCAAGTCTCTTTTGATTTTCTCAATAGATGACCTTTTGATATCTTTGTCTCTTTTGCTTAAAGATAAAGTGTCTTTTAAGGTATTTATGCTTGTTTCTAGCTTTTCCATTTCATTATCATATATTTCCTGTGAAAAATTGATATCATGTAAAGATAGTTGCCAAAACGTGACAAATAGACCAGGTGTGATATAATTCTGAAATTCAAGAGGGATAACTGCGCGTGACTCTTCTATAACACTCTCCAATTCAGGCAACCATGTACCCTCACAGTCATTCGAAATCAATTTACTTAGTATTGGCCGCCATAACTCGAACGCCCATTGTAACGGAACACCATATTTACAGCACAAGTCTGATATGGGTAACAACGAACGGGAAAGCTTATCATTATCGGAAAAGAAATTGACTGCCGTGATCAACAAGTGAAGTAAGGCATTCAAATCATCATTCTTGTTAGCCAACGCCTTCAAATGTGTTGCATCCAATTCGAACAAAATTGTATCGTTCAATTGACATAGCAAAACTATTAGCTCGTTAATAACGTCTAATTCTAAGAGCGTATGCATCAATACATAACCCGATTTTTGTCTTTCGTTTCTCATATCTTCTATTGTTCGGTAGACAAGCTTCTCGAGCGACTGACCACAATTTATCATGTCAACTTGTCTTAGGGTTAAATTAGTAATTGATCTAATTCCACACATTGACTTCAAAATTTCTCCTAAAACGGTCAATCCTAGACTGTCTTGGGCATGAAATGACTTAACTAAAAATTTTAGTAATGTGCTTAAATCAATTGCGTTGGGATACCGCTGACAAATCTTCCCGATGAAGGACGCCAATGATTGAATCCATTGCCGTTCGTTCAATCCATCATCCTGCGTGTTTGATCTTCCTGATGCTGTTAACCGCATCATTATCGCTAATGACAATACATCCCAACCATAGCTATTAAAGTATCGAGCAGTTTCGACTACCAAAGAGATTAAGTTGTCGTAGCTTTCGATCTGTTGTAATATGGTAATTAGGCAAGGCAATGGATTTGAAAAACTAATTTTGGCCAATCTTCTCATCATCGGATGAATGTTTTCTTTTGATAGCCTCTTTAGAATATCTTTGGTCGACTTTTCGGCCCTGCCATATGCTATCTTTATATAAGGATTATTTTTAGATAGAACTTGATATAACTCGCCGTATAAATTAAACCTTTCTTCGAGAGAATAAAATGATAATATTGAAAAAGCATTTCCAACAGCTAAAGAATTTTCTTCAATGAGGGAAATAGAGGGAAAAATGAAATTTCTGAAGAAGTCGAACCAAGTTTTCTTTCTCTCCTCTATGTCAGAACCGTCTTTAGATAAATCCCAAACACTGATCTCGCAAATTTTAGTGAAAAGTTCCAAATCTTTGGATAAATTAACGTCAATAAATTTGAGGATTTCTTTGGATTCGCGGAAAAGATCCTGACATGTTTTGATCTTAGGAAGCTGGTCGCCCCAGGATTTATAAAAATAAATAAACTTTTTTTGACTATGACTTTTGACTGTCGGTTTGAAACTTAAAATTTCAGAGCATGGGAATGGTTCATAAGATACATTATTTAGTGGTCTTGTGTATGCGACCTTTTTTGGGCTTTGTAAAGAATATAGTTCATCCTCGTCGAAATCACATATTGAGTCATATAAGGGTGTTATCATTTCATTTAGTAAACGGTTTAACAATTCGTAGATTTCAGGATCAATCTTAGCCAAGAATGGATAATCAGTTAATATGTATATTGACGGCCAATAGAGTCCATTTCCAAGAAAGACGCGCAACATTTGGTATTTGAAATTAAACCGTAACTTCTCCTCGATCGATTTCTTAGTTTCAACCTTGCTTCGAGTAGATTCATTACTTCCCATTGAATTTGACTCTTTCTCCTCTTCTTCCTTTAATGGTGCCGCAAGTGCTAACGCGCTCGCGTTAGCCTTTAATACTTCCTCTTCTAATCTTTTTTTATGCTCTTCTTCGAGGCTGCGCATTTCCTCATCATTTGGCCTCAAATATTTATAGATAGATCCAAAACTCACGAAGCCTTCTTTTATCAAACAAGCAGTTAAAATTTTAAAAGTTTCTGGTAAGTCTTTAGCATTAGGATACTTCAATAGTCTTAGACCAATTATCTTTGCAGCAGATTCGTTCCCTCCAGTGGACAACTGATCAATTGAAGTAAAACAATTACTTTCCACATCTGGCCACCATTGTGATTTTTTTAATAATGCCAACGCAAAAGGATAATTCCCAACAAAATGGTTGCTATAAATCTCCAATAGAATATCTAAACAGCGATTAGGATCAAGAGAATAGTGGCCAATTAACTTCTCAATAATTTCTATTGCATAATCAACTTTGAATCGAGTATCGTAATCCTTGAAAACATTATAAAGCTCGATGATATATTTAGAATAGCCTTCACTTTCTTCATGCAATAAGTTGTACTTTTTTTGGGTGTAGAATTCATCTCGTTTGTGTGTATTCAATTGCCTAGTAAGTGATTCACCAGGCACTATTTTCAGTTTCAGGAGTGTTTCTGGTTTCAAATATTTTGCAAATGTGATTGGCTTAATGATGTTTTGTTTGTTGTATAAAACAACAAGTAAACTTTGGAGCTCGTCAGACATTGGAAACACATCTAGGACTTGGCAAAATATTGTAGCCATAGACTCATCTTTTATAGTTACTGAAAGAAACTTCACAATATCATCAACTACTATATGACCCTCTATAGAGACCAAGAGTAGCTCTGTGAAAATCTGGCAGGTCACCTCATCCATTTCCTCTGTCGATTGATCGAGTGCTTCTAGTATCAGTATCAAGCTTTGAGAGCCAGCTCCGTGGAACTGGCTTATGATTTCGTCAGAAAAGTACGTGTAAGGGTCCCCAGACATCCTGACAAATCTCCTGTAGTTCATCTTCAAATCTCTAGTTCACCTCAATGATATTCATTTGTGAGCGACTTCTTACGTACTGCATATTAATTTTTTGTTAGACATGATATTTTAATTTAATGGTCCGAGCTATCACTTCAACTTTGAGTTGACGTTGAACCCCGAAGCTGGTGAATCTTTTGTATTGCCCGGTCTTATTGCCTTCAAATTATTCTCAGGTCTCCTATCACGGAATTGAAATAATCCAGCGTTTCTGTTCAGGATCTTTAGGGCTTCGATAACAATATGAAAAACTGGAAATTAAACTTCAAAAACTGGGAGTATACAGTTTCCATTTTCATTGGGTTATATTTTATTTTGATTAATTTTGTTTTTGAATTTTCAGAAGTTGAGAACTTGAAAAACCATCTTCGGGTAGTTCCCAACGAAGTTATCCAACATTTTAACGTTGACATAAGTTCCAATAATAATTTCGCATACATTCAGTATTCTACGAACTACCAATACTTAAATTTAGCTTTGATAAATTGTATAACGTTGAGAAAATCAGAGACCATAGCTAAAAGCCTTGTTGTTTTGTTTGATAAAAATTTAGAGTTCGAAGATATTGCCAAATTCAACCGGTTGAGAGACATTTCGGCGCAATATGATATTACTTTGAAGCCAGTTGAGGTCCTCGCAGTTTCAAAGTCGTCAAGTACTGACTGGGCCAAATCCTTTACTAAATTTCATGTTTTCAATCAAGATGAATTTGATAGAATTATTTACTTTGATTCCGATTCAATGTTTGTAAATGTTGATATGGCTGATTCCAATACCGGCGATCTGTTAAGAAATTTACCTGGGAATTTTGACGAGCTTTTTAAACTACCGAATGAGTTTGATCTCATTTTACCTCATGCGTATTGGCTCACCAAAGAAGAGCATAAGCGGTCGAAGAAAGTCGAAGTCCCAAATGAGAAAAGATATAACTTGAAAATTGGGAAACTCATATCTGATATTGAAAACAATGGAGATAAGAATATATGGCAGTTTCTACCCTCTTTATTTTCTGAAGATCAGAAATTCAAAAACAGAGATCACTTCTTCGCAAATCATGTGATGGTTTTATCACCATCTAAAGAGACCTTTAAGCAAATAAAAAAATACATTTATAACCCCCTTCTGTGGCTGCTCACTAATAGGTCCAAGCTACGTAAAGTGTCTGATTTTGATATGGAAATAATGAACCGTTTCATTGATGATAAGTTTAAGCAGCATTCTGATTTCAAAGTGGGTATTCTTCCGCACAAAAACTATGGTGTTCTCACAGGTGAGTTCAGAGAGTTCTGGCATGCAAGATTTATTGCAGAACCTCAATATTTACCATATTCAAAGAGAAAAACGAATGATAACTGGTATCCTTTAAAAACCTTATCTAAAATCAGGTCGGTTCATTTTTCAGATGCTCCGATACCAAAGCCATGGGAATTCGAGGATAATTATGACCACTATAATATTTTCAAAATTTACTGCTTTGATAGCTCATTTAATGAAGAAGAGTATAAAAGATCGTATCCATCTGAATGGAAGCCTCGTCTCACTGACGACTGTGCAAGTGTACAGATATGGAATTGGATAAGAGAGGAATTTTCTAAAACGATGCAACTCTATTGGGTGGTATAATGAAGCAAGTTATTATAGTCTATCGTACTAACCTGACAGCTTTGATTTTTTTTTTTTTTTGAGTATTCTTAAATATGTAGGTATAATTTAATAGATCCTCGTTGAAGTGAACGTTTACGATAACTAAATTTCGTGTATTTTGCAGATGTAGGTAATTTTTAGTAAAAAATTAAAGAAAAATTAAGAAAAGGATGAAATTGCATATGGTGGGTTCATTAAGTACTCTGGTGTCAAAATTTTGAACTGTCTGCTATATACTGCTCTTAAAACGTTAACCGGCGGGCAGACCTTCGTTGAAAACTGTGGGAACTTTTCGCCTAGCCTGAGGCAATGTCTCCAATACGAATCAGGAAATTTCCTAAAAATAAATTGCTTTTGTGTTTCATAATTTTTGAATGTTTTGATCTTTTATGAACCATACAAGAAAACCTTGGCTGTGCTTGTAAACGTTCATATAACTGAGCATAGATCAGAGAGATATAACAGCACGATACTTAGTGTAAAGATGCTGGAATTCGTGACCACCACTGTCGCTCGCGCAGAAGCATTTAAGCGAGATGATATGCCAACTTTGACCAATGAAGATAGTTATACTACTCCTGCTATCTCTGTACCACCAAATGACAATAATCCTTACATAATAAGAGAGCATAACCCGAGTGGAACAGTTTTCATTGCTGTTGGTTGCATCGTAGGTGCCATATTGTTGGGCTTCGTGCTATATCATTTGATTAAATCATTGTGGGCTTCGAAACTTGCAAAGAAGACATTAGCTGATGAGAAAAAGTTGTACGAGAAATACCAAAATAACAACAGTTATGCGTATGGAGGCAGTACAGTAACCCCGTCGACGTCAATGAATTTTAATGACTACCAGCAATCAGTTACTAAATTACCTCTTTTGTCTCACCACCGGAATCGCTCCCTTTTAATGGGTTTTGGTGGAAGCAATACTAGTGATTCACAGGTTGGAGACTCAGGAGTTTATTCTTCTGAAGTGGGAGCAACTTCAAAACATGATTTAACCAAGATGTTTATATCACCAACTGAGGAAGTGATGCAACATAAAAGAAACAAGTCCAATACCTCGCAATCTATACTTGGAGGCTCCGTGACAAACTTCAGCAATCCTCCGGCTGCTTCGAACTGGCATTCGCAGATTTTGCCTAACTTATACATCAACAAAGAAGTCAATAATAGTGATTATTCGGTAAGCAATTCTGCGAGAGACAACGTCCAGAAGGACGAAAAAGATGAAAGAGGCGAGTCTTACGATGGCCCACGCTCGCCATCTAGAGGAGCTAGAGCCGATAGAAGAATGATCCCATCCATGTATTTGGAAGATTTGATTGATAACGATTCTCAAAATTAATATCCTGTCTTAGGTAATCTTGTAAGAATAGCCCTAAGATCATGGAATTAGATAGTCTCATAAGAAATTACTTAAAAGAAAATAGTTTATTTAGTGATGCATTTGTCTACTTATAATGTCTAGTGGTGTTTATTGTAGTTATGCTTTATTGGTTGAAACACTACCTGTAGAAATTATCATGTTTACTAGCATAAACATATAGATATTGCTGTGCATAATGATTTTGTTAAATACAAGATAGAATCATTTTGCCAACATATCCTGAAATGCCGATTTGTGGTAGTAGTCAGAAGACAAGTAAGTTAGAGATAATAGACTTTTCAATTAGCTGAGGGAATATTTACGATATATCGTTTCTCGTTTATTTCTGTGTGTCTTCGAGAGGACTTCATTTAGAAAATAATATTCTGGATACTAACAGTTTTAGTCCAACGTAAAATTGTGATATTAGGTGATGGTGCATGTGGTAAAACCTCCTTATTAAACGTTTTCACTAGGGGGTATTTTCCTCAAGTATACGAGCCAACAGTATTTGAGAACTATGTGCATGATATATTCATTGATGGCCAATCAGTACAGTTGTCCTTGTGGGATACTGCTGGACAGGAAGAATTTGACAGACTTAGGTCACTTTCATATTCAGACACCCATTGTATCATGTTATGTTTTTCGGTGGATTCTCCCGACTCCTTGGAAAATGTCCAATCGAAATGGGTCGGGGAAATCGCTGATCATTGTGAAGGTGTGAAGTTGGTTTTAGTAGCATTGAAATGTGATTTGAGAAATAATGCTCAAAATGATCTTGAAAACAATGAAGATGAATCAACGAATCCTTATTCACATTCATCAGATCCATATCACCACCAAAAGAAGCTCATCAGTTATGAAGAAGGATTAGCGGTTGCTAAAAAGGTAGGTGCATTAAGATATTTAGAATGCTCTGCTAAGAAAAATAGAGGAGTCAACGAAGCATTTTCAGAAGCAGCCAGATGTGCGTTGAACGCTAAACCAAAGGGTGCCAATGATAACGAACCCGAGAAAAGGGCGTGCGTTATTATGTAAATTTAATATAAATTGTCATTGTAGATTGAAACCATGACTAGTAGATCGGACATACATCGAGAGAAAAGAAGTAATATCAAATTAATTTTTTTTGGTGGAGCAAATTGATAATATTCAATTAATCATTAATTATATGTACAAGTGATAAGCGGATTCAGGAGGTCAGGCTCGAGGGTGAATGCTTGCCCTGTGATTCTTGATGACCATTAAAGGGTCGATTTAACAACGTTTGCCTTATGTCCCAAACATCTTCCGAACTACCTTTTGCTTTATCTTCTATTAATCTTCTTTTATAAAAATCTTGAATTTTTTTTCTTTTATTTATTTCAGCTTCACTTAGCTTTCCGACATCTGTATCCAGCTGGTAAAGTGCTCCATTTTTGACAGCGAACCAAAACTTTTCCCTTTGCCTTGCACAATTATCGTATGATCCATACCTATAGTAGCTTTTCAATTGCCCCCCTAAAGAAAAACAGCCTATGAGCTCGTCAAGAGCAGAAAAAACAGAAAGGCTATCGGGAAACGAAGAGATATTGTTCTCATGTATCAATTGGGTGATCTTTTGTCTTCTTTCCTGTATATTTTCCGGCGCTTCTTTAAACAGATTCCATATTTGCCTTAATTCGTCATCGTCTTCATGAGATGAGTCTTTTGTCATATTTCCAAGCTAAATTGTATTCGCTTCAACTCGTCTATGTGATTATGTAGTTATAAGTGAGTGAGTCGGATGTGAACTCTATAAAATCTCATCCATATATTAAGTTCATTTTTCATCTTACATGCAGGCAATCAACTTACTTAAGTCGAGTTATGGTAATATTTTTCACCTTGGAACGGATGCTTTAATTAGAAAGTTTACGAAACAAAAACAAGAGAAAATGTTTTACTTGTCTAGTCTAGTGAGATCTAATACGTTCTCTGTTAATTTCAAGCTCGATGTGTTTCGTTCTTTATCCCATCTTGCATCTTTAAAACCAAACGATGGCTCTGTTGTTGGATATAAAAGATTAGGAAGAGGTCCTGCCTCCGGAAAAGGTAAGACCTCTGGTAGAGGTCAGAAGGGACAGAAGGCTAGAGGAAGTGTTCCCAGATGGTTTGAAGGTGGCCAAACACCTTTTTATAAAAGATTTCCGATTATTGGCTTTAAAAGGGCCCATAAGAGAATTTATGCCGGAGTTAATTTGGATAGAATTCAAGACTTTTGGAACGCCGGGAGGATACCACTAGAAGAAGGTGGAAATTTAACAATGAAGGTCATGAAGGACTGCGGGATCATAAGTGGATCTGTCAAGGATGGAGTCAAGATCTTGGGAAACGGAAAGGACATATACACCGTTCCCTTGAATATAGAATCATCAAAGGCATCAATTGGAGCTATTTTATCGATTGAAAGGAGCGGCTACAAGTTTACTGCAAAATACTTTACCAAATTAGGTTTAAAGGCACATATAGATCCAAATTATTTCTACTTGAAAAAGGGATACTTGCCTTTATCTGCCAGACCAACTCATAGAAGAGATGTTGAGTACTATTCAGACCCCGAGAAAAGAGGTTACTTGTTGAAAGATAGATCTATTTTATTAGATTATTTGGGAAAAGCAAATAAAATAAGCAGAACCACCCGTAAAAGCGAATTAGAAAGACTGTTGGAGAATGCATCATCAAGAACTTATAAGGAATTTTCAAGCACCAGAGTTATTCCTATAGATATGCTTTAGTATTTTTAAATCTTGTATATAACACCGCTAATGTAAGTTTTACAACTAGCTATGTCAAAGATTGGAGCATGTTTCAGGAGGCTCCTCAATGTCTATAAAAACTTGTAAAAGCTTTTCAACGATTTCTTGAATGTCGTTCACCTTCACCTTCACAGACTGTTTCTGTTTTGTACTACCATCAAAGTTAAATTTCCTTATCGCAAACAAAGCTGACTTGTATGTTATTTGATGAACTTCTTTGATTGTTAACTTTTCATTAGCGGATTGTGTTACATTATTGGATAACCCTCGTAGTCTCAAGCCTGACGATATCATCTTATTGATAGTATGAGCAATTTGATCCTTCGTTGTTAATACCGAAGCTGATAGTGATGATGAGGGTTTAGAATTATTAACGAGGAAAGGATTGGGCTTTATTTTCTTTCGTGATAAAACTTTATCAAAAATAGACGTGTTATCATTCATTTTTGACGTCGAACTTGCCAGTATGATGAGATCCAAAAACACAGAGCTATTCACCATGTCTAGAGCACCACTACTTTCTAAAAATGTATCAATCATTCTCAATTTTTTAAATAAATCAAACTCCACTATCAAGCATTTTATCAGCTGTTCATTGAAATCGACATAGAACACCAAATACTGCTCTGAAGAATTACCCTTGTATATTACACCCACACTATCATTGGATAATGAAGACTTTATCAATTTATTTTTGAAATATTCTGTAGTTCTATCTTCATTAGAGAATACGGTGAATGGTTTATACTTTATTAAATAGATTGGAAACAAACGATAATCTATTGCGTTGTTTGGCATAGGGTAATAGTTTGATGATAAAGCACTTACATCTTTCGGGAGATAGACCAGCAGCCATAGTTGCACATCCTCTACCACATCATTTGTTTCATCTTTGAGGATTACGGTTGTAACTTTGTTCATATCACAACCATGATATCAATTTTAGATAGAAGTCTCAAGAATTTATCGTACGTTATTACACAATCATGAATGAGTGTTCATTTTTATCGCGATGAGATTTTTGAGACTGATCGTTTGAGCATATAAACCTTGTAAGGGGGCGGGCAGAAATCAATACGCCTTCCACGAATTCATATCAATAAGGGGGGCTATGAGTGTAAATACCAGAGTATATTCTGTAGCAAGGGTCTATGCTGATGTGAACAGTAAAAAGCCATCAGAATATTGGGATTATGAAAACCACAAAATAGAATGGGGCGACATAAAGAGATATGAGATAATTAACAAGATTGGAAGAGGCAAATACTCTGAAGTATTCCAAGGAGTGAACATTTTAAACGATGAGCCGTGTGTCATAAAAGTTTTGAAGCCTGTTAAGATGAAGAAGATTTATAGAGAAGTTAAAATTTTGAAGAACTTGACGGGGGGACCGAACGTCGTCGCATTATTGGACATAGTCAGGGATGATCAAAGTAAAATTCCTGCTCTTATATTTGAAAAGATTAATAATGTTGACTTTCGAATCTTGTATCCTAAGTTTACTATTTCAGATATTCAGTATTATTTCACAGAATTATTAATTGCTTTAGATTTTTCACATTCGATGGGTATAATTCATAGGGATGTTAAGCCTCAGAATGTAATGATTGATCCAATAAGTAAGAGGCTTCGCTTGATTGACTGGGGTTTGGCCGAATTTTACCACATGGGAATGGACTACAATGTTAGAGTCGCATCCAGATATCATAAAGGTCCCGAATTACTTATAAACTTACAGCTGTATGACTACCTGTTAGATTTATGGTCTGTGGGTTGTATGCTTGCTGCAATAGTGTTTAAAAAAGAACCATTCTTCAGAGGTGCATCGAATACAGATCAACTTGTTCAAATCGCAAAGATTCGTGGTACCGAAGAATTGATGAAATACGCTAACAAATATGGCATAAAACTAAGTGATGATTATGATGGAGTTCTTGGAAATTATCCTAAAAAGCCTTGGAGCTATTTTATATCTTCAGATAATGAACATTTGGCAAACGATGAAGTAATTGATCTTATTGATAAATTGTTGACTTATGATCATCAGTTGCGTCCTACAGCTAAAGAAGCATTAGAGCATCCTTTCTTCAAGTTATAGATTAAATACGACTAGTAATTAATAGTAGCCTTATCTAAAACGTATTTATGTTTTGAGTATACAGCCTTCATTTATTGTATTTAGATATCGAATTGTTCTATATATCGCACTTTCCTTTTTAATACATGTATCCGAGATATATTTTTGCGACGCGATAACACTGTTTTAAACGTGTTTGAAATATATTTCACAATAAAGAAGAATAGTTAGAAAAATCACACACATCCTTATTCAAAAACACACAGCTTGACTTGTTATCCAGGTATTCAAGTCTGTCTTCGTCTTAAGGACTGATCTTTACTCAAGGTGACCAGCACCAAGATGGCTGTTAAAAACTGTTCTGACAATATCCCAGAGTGGGTTGAACAACAAAAAAGAACAATGACAAGGTGGATCAATAGCAAGCTCAGATACGACGCTGTTAAAGATATATCCATTGATCTCAAAGATGGCCTAGTGCTTGTAAAGCTAATCAACCAAGTTATTTTAGAATCACCCAATGAGCATGGAAATGAGAAGAGGTACTTATTAACGTCAGTCTATGAAAAGCCCAAATTCAGGATACAAATGGTTGAGAATCTAAATGATTTCCTTAAATTTTGTAGATTGATTTTAAATATCAATATTTTAAATGTCAATGGCGAAAATATCTACGAAGGAAATGTTAAATTAATACTTGGCTTGGTGTGGACAATCTTTATATACTCGACGTCCAATGCCATGCCACTTTATAATAACTCGTCTTATTCCCAGATAAAGACAATTTTAATGAATTGGGTCAATCAAATCATAAACAGAAAAGATACGAAGATCTCAAATTTGAATAAAGATTGGTCAATCGAAATCAACCGACCTGATCTTTATTTATCGTATATTTTGGATTACTATTTGCCCGGTCATTTTGAGATCCTGCTTAAAAAATTCCAAAACTTAACAAATGTCTTTGCTTACACTGAGTCCATAGGAATACCACGCCTCGTAGAGGCAGATGATTTTTTAAGCCTTGTTCCCGATGAGACATGTGTGGTTACATTTCTTGTTGAGTGGTTTTATTTTTTTGAGGGAGATCAAAAACATAAGGAAATGTTGGCAGAAGGTAAGACAGAGAAGTTCGATGCTCTAATTGAGCTCTTGACTTCTGCAGTCGATATGAAAAGATCTTACGAATTGAAGGGAGCAATGTTTCTCAACCAAATTACTTCATTGACCCAGCAAATCAATGAAAACTCGATATTTTTTGAGAACTTTATTGCACCATTAAAGAACCACCTTAATCAATGTATGCTGTTGTTTGATGAGTCTTTCAATTCTAATTCAGGAGATTTTGAACAATTTTTTGACTTATTTCTGTTTGTTCAAGAGCAACTAAACGATGTAATTGCACGATTAGATACATGCGAGACATATCGAGTCGTTATTAAACCTCAATTAACCTACAAGGATTTCCCTGAACTCAAAAGTCTTTCAAACACTATCAGAAATAATCTTGAGGAGATTGGGATACAATATTTACCGTCAAAAGAGCTTCAGTTGGAGAATTTGGACGAGAAATTTCAGAGCCTCATAAGTGTTGATGCAGTGCTTATAAGTATATTGAAAGTGGGAATCAAAGATCTTAAGGAAGTGTCTAAATTCAAGGAGCTCAACGGATATCTTAATTCGATCGAAGATCACTTGAAAAAGCATAGACATGAACTCGACCCTGGAAGCAAAGATAATATCATAAAATGTTTGGGAATATTCGATTATCTTATCGAAGTAAATCACAAATTAGATTACCATTCTAGGCGGCTCAACATCGAAAGGTCAACTTCGGAATTGAAAAAGCTTTTGGAAACTTCTTTTATAAAACATTGCACGAATTACAATGTTGATGCAGATATGTTTCTTCGCTTTAAGCAGCATCTATGCATTTACAGTGACTTGACGTGCTCCGAAATGATAAAAGAGATGACAGATATTACTTCAGCTGATATATCAACAGAACTCTTATTATCGTTCATTCAGCAGATTCCTAATAAATCAATCATAAGAGAAGACAATGACTCGCATATTCAGTACTCTTCTGATGATAGCGATGAATCTTCCATATTTGATGGTGTTCATAAGCAGCTTTATTTACAGCTTTCAGGACACGATAAACTTTACAATTTTGGCGATTTTTTTGAAAGAATTGATAATAGGTTTTGCATCTAATTCCACTATTTAAATAATTATGACTACACGACTCCAAATTAATTAATTTATAACGTAGAGCTATTCTCTGTTCATATCGACAAAGTTTACGAGTATTTATTCTATTCTTGGGTCGACATGGATCAAATAGATTCAGAGGAGCCGTTGACATCGCATGTTAGGCCAGCTACGGACGCAGTTTTAACTATCCGGATCATCAAATCATTCCCGTACAGAAATATAAGAAATCATATCTTAAATTCAGTGGACTTAAAAGACACTACGCCGAAGCAGTTACTAGAAGAAGTATCAAAGATCATTGAAACTGACGGGAAGCTACGTCCATGCCGAAATGTCAACTATGACACACTTAAAATATACACCAAAGCGCATGGAACCAAATCAATGAATCTCGTCATCAACTTTGACCATGACGATAACTGGGTCATTGTGAGTAAAACCATACCAGGTGATAAGACCAGCTTGTGGGATTTGGGTATCGAGAACGAGACCGAAATCAGCATGTTTAACTGGCAAGATTATTTAGACTACAAAGCCAATCCAGAAGAAAAATGGTAGAGCTTCTAATATCACAATACAAGCATACTTATGAATGCACGATAAACACTCTGTAATCGTAAACTTCACAACTCATCATATAATATCGAATCTAAGAATGTTCAAAGTAATCTGAACTCTTTGATTAAGGAATTTGGAGATGAAAAATTATATTTCAAAGAACATTTAGAGAGCCAATGTTTATAATGTGTTTTGAACTTTTCAGATATGTTGCCCTAGTTGGCTTATGCTGTCATCTATTCATGTTTAGTGCTGTCACAAGGGTACGTTGAGCACCTTTTGTCTCAATAAATTCACATGACCTAAAGTAGTGTATTGTTGATAATATTTTGGCCAATTAAAGCACCCTTATATTTTTTTTTCACTGAGAAACATCAATACGTTTTGTGATTATTCATCGTAACTATACACCATTGAAATTATAATAGGTTGGGAGTAATTTTATTAATAAAAGCTAAAAGTCTATTGTGATATCGAATTTAAGCTTTTCATTAAGTCAGGGAAAGAAAGTTGATATAAAACAATTCAGCAGCATATTATTACAATGTTTAAGACATCTTCCAAAGCAGCTAATCCTTTAATTCAAAAGTTGATTGCAGGAACTGTGGGTGTAACTGGTTTGACAGCATCTTACTTGTTATACAAAGACTCTGTTACTGCTAGTGCCATGACTGCAGCAGAACATGGGTTACATCCACCGGCTTACGGATGGTCCCACAATGGTATGTTAGAGACGTTCGATCATGCTTCAATTAGAAGAGGATTTCAAGTATACAGGGAGGTTTGTGCTGCTTGTCACTCCTTGGATAGAATTGCTTGGAGAAACTTGGTCGCTGTCTCTCATACTACTTCGGAAGCCAAGGCATTTGCTGAAGAATTGGAATACGATGACGAGCCGGATGATGCAGGTAATCCAAGAAAGAGACCAGGTAAATTGGCTGATTACATTCCTGGCCCGTATCCTAATGAGGAGGCTGCCAGAGCTGCCAACCAAGGAGCTTTACCCCCAGACTTGTCTTTAATCGTTAAAGCAAGACATGGTGGTTGTGATTATGTCTTTTCTATATTGACTGGCTACCCAGAAGAACCACCAGCAGGTGTTGTTTTACCAGATGGTGGTAACTATAACCCATATTTCCCAGGTGGTTCAATTGCTATGGCTCGTGTCTTGTTCGACGATTTGGTTGAGTACGAAGATGGTACTCCTGCAACGACCTCTCAAATGGCTAAAGATGTAACCACCTTTTTGAATTGGACTTCTGAGCCTGAGCATGACGAGAGAAAGAAGTGGGGTTTGAAGGCTTTGATTGTTCTTTCTTCCTTATATTTGTTGTCTGTGTGGGTCAAGAGATTCAAGTGGCAACCAATCAAGAACAGAAAGATCACTTTTAACCCACCAAAGAAATGAGCAGCCCTCAGGTTAAGTGGCTTTGTGCCGTTGCTGCTATATAAGAAAAGTACCTTTGTCATGATTACGAACGAGATCAAGGGGGCTCGCCTGCTAAGACGCATATTTCATCATCTTTACATAACTTGGCTTGTGTCCTATCTCAACGTGCGATCCTCTAATTATCACAAATTTCAAAATACATTCAATAGATATTTGTCATTAAATAAAATGAATTTGTTTATAGTTCGAATAATAACTGTAAATTTCGTAGCTATTATTTTATTTCTTTTTTTTTTGTTTGCTCCTAGCAATGTTCTTGGATTCATAGTGCTAAATAGGTTGTATCTGTGAGTTCTCAAAGCCAATCAATAATGGCCGATTAGTTACCTGTATGTATACATTGTGAATATGAAAGATAGGTTGTATGCAGTAAAATATTTTTCCCATGAACGACATAGTTGACGACTCTCGTGTGAGATAGTCTCGGCGAGATGTGAGACACAAATAGAATTGCTGGTGAATCCGAGATTCCTATTGGATAAGGGGCCGAAGGCACTTTAAAGTTCGGCGAAATATAATAGAGAAAACAAAGAGAACTTCTTGGAAATCTTGAAAGAAATAAATAAGGAAGTGAGCCACTATATTCTCTATCGCTTTGTTAGGAGTCATTGAACATTCAAGGATAGGAAAGTATCGCGCTTCTGGATTATTTTCATCTGAATATATATTAGTCGAACTTTCAGGAAGTTTTTGTTATCCAAACATTTTACTTTTGAAGTCATACTTGCAGCTTCAAATATTAAAAGTCTAACTTTGGTTGAAAGCCTATTGCATCTTACTTAATATTTCCTTTTTCGTCGCATAAAGGAATACTATACAAATTTATTTAATAGCTTGGTGTCACTTAACTGTTTTAACTCACTAACTAGAAACAAACGTTTGTAAATTAGATAAATGGGAACAACAAAGAACTTGGATGATGCACGCGTGCTAAGTGAGGCCGAGAGCCTGAATTCTGAGCTAAATAGTTCCTCATCCACAAGTGCTTTAGTACACGAATCGAGTTCTATGGCAACGTACATCAAACCTTCAAGTGCGGATCTGTATGGTCAGAACCCTCTAGATGAGTCACAGAATGAGCGGCCATCTAAAATGGTGATCATACTAACTTTGGCGTCGTCAATATCTGGTTTTATGTTCGGATATGATACTGGTTATATCTCATCTGCGTTAGTCAATATTGGGACCGATTTGAGCAATAAGATCTTGACCTCTGGTGAAAAGGAATTCATAACGTCAGCTACCTCCTTAGGTGCCTTGATAGGTGCTTTCGTAGGTGGAGTATTTGCTAATTTATTTGGTCGTCGTAAGGTATTATTGGGGTCTAACTTGATTTTTATTGTCGGTTCGATAATTCAGATAGCAGCAAAAACTGTCTGGACCATGATTAGTGGACGGTTCATTTTGGGACTAGGAGTTGGAATTGCGTCATTGATCGCTCCTTTGATGTTAAGTGAACTAGCGCCATCTAAATATAGAGGCAGATTAATTGTTACGAATGGTATGTTTATCACTGGTGGACAGTTAGTTGCTTATTTAATTAATTGGGCTTTGACTAATATGAAGCATGGATGGAGAGTCTCTGTTGGGCTCTGTATGGTGCCACCTGTAATTCAATTCGGATTATTTTGGTTTTTACCAGATACTCCAAGGTATTATATAATGGCTGGAAATTTCATTAAAGCTAAAGAGGTCATCAGAGAAACTCATAATAATGCCCCTGAGTCATTTGTGAATGCCACTGTCCAGGAAATGATATCATCGAATTCGAAAGTTCCCGGAAGTGGCCCCTTCCAACAAGCATGGAATTCTATCAAACTACTTCATACAAATAAAGCAAACTTTAGAGCCCTCATATTGGCATGTGGATTACAGGGTATTCAACAATTTACAGGTTTCAATTCACTTATGTATTTTAGTGCAACTATATTTGAAACATGTGGATTTGACAATGCAACTGCAGTCTCAATTATAATAGCTGCTACTAATTTTGTTTTTACTGGGATAGCTTTATGCATCATTGATAAGGTAGGAAGAAGAAGAATATTGTTATTTGGCATGCCTGGAATGTGTATTTCAATGATAATTTGTGCCATTGCATTTCATTTCTTGGATATAAAGTTCAGTTCGAATGATGTTGAAGTCAATACCCATGGAATCACCGGCTGGGGAATTGTTGTCATTATGAGCATGGTATGCTACGTCGCAAGTTATGCTACAGGCATTGGTACTGCTGCATGGACTGGGGTTGAGTTATTTTCTGATGTCAATGTTAGAGCTGTCGGAGGGATGTTTGCAACGGCCACGAATTGGTCTGGCTCTTTGGTCATTGCATCTACTTTTTTGACCATGTTAGAAAATATAACACCAACGGGTACGTTCTCTCTCTTCGCGGGCCTATGTTTTGTTTCCTTTCTTTTCGTATACTTCCTTCTTCCTGAAGTTGCTGGATTAGAGTTGGAGGAAACCACCAACTTCTTGTCTGAGGGATTCAATGTTAAGGCTGCGTCTAAGTTATCCAAGGAAAGGAAAAAAATTTCGAAATTTTCTTCTGAGATTGCTGGACCTTGAGTCATCACTTTTAATTCATATCATAAGTCTTCTATTCCGCATAGGTCATTTTTTCTTTTTAAAATTTTGTATCATATCAGCTTATATAATTAATATAAACTCTGTGAGTTAAGTTGGAGTTGCAAGTAAGTCGTGTCTTAATGATTTTTTAAATTGGAATTTATCATCTCTGTTTGAAGCTTATCAAGCTCGTGTATGAGGAACGGGAAAGGAAAAGAGAACAAGCATGGAGGACACGGTACTACATGAGTCTAAATTGCAACCTATTAATAAGTTTCATGTCATGAACAGCTTAAAAAGCTATAAAATATTAAAGAAACTTGGCCAAGGAACATTTGGTGTAGTCCAAAGAGCTAAGAACGTAAAGAATGACGAAGATGTTGCATTAAAACAACTACTCAACCACTCTGCGAAGGAGGGATTCCCGATAACTGCAATGCGTGAAATCACAATATTAAAGCATTTGCATCATAAGAACATTTTAAAAATAATAGACATGGTTTATGAAGAGCCAAAAGTATCCAACTCACATGACTTAATTCATCAAAGAGGCTGTTTTTATACAGTTTCACCTTACATGGCATCTGACCTTGTTGGGTTATTGGAGAACCCACGAATAGAATTGCAGCTAGCTCAAATAAAATGCTTTATGGTGCAATTATTACATGGCATAGAATATATTCACAAACAGCATGTTTTACACAGGGATATCAAGGCAGCAAATATTCTTATTGATTTCAGTGGGGTTCTCAAAATTGGAGATTTTGGTTTAGCTAGAATGTATCATGGGTCTATTCCAAGGTTGGGAATGGGGCCTGGAGGTGGCGAGAGAGCATACACGGGTTTAGTAGTAACAAGATGGTATAGACCACCTGAGTTATTATTGGGAGAAAGGAAGTACACTACTGCTGTCGATATGTGGGGAGTTGGCTGCGTTTTCGCGGAGCTTTTTACTTGTAAACCTATCCTAGTTGGCCAAACTGATTCACACCAAGCGCAGCTTGTTTTCAACTTAGTTGGTCCTCCCAATATTTGGGTTCACGCATCTACTTTACCGAACAAGCTGGATTTTAATATAGGGCTCACATGTAAAAGGTCCCTAGAAGAACGGTTTAAAGGTATAATGCCACCCGATGGAATAAATTTATTAAGTGGGTTATTGACACTCGATCCTTACAAGCGGCTAAATGCACTGGACGCATTGCTTCACAGCTTCTTTCTGAACAATCCTTTACCTTTAGAACCTCAAGAGCTTCCGAAATTTGAAGAGAGTCATGAAATTGATAAAGATAAGTTCAAAAAATTGAAAGAGAAAGTACAGATACATCAGTTGCCCAAAGGTCCATCACATGGACTTCAGCAACGAGAAAAAGCGTCAGCAAATAAAGCAAAAGATCCATACGATGATTCCCACATTGATAGGTACGTACCCTTATATCACTCGGAAAAATCGCTGCGTCTTTCTGGTGAAAGAGGAAGGTATTCCAACTATAGATCACATCGCGAGCCTCATGAATCAAAACGTGAGACTATTACATCATATCTGAATCTAAGAGATCGATCCCCAAATCGTGATCCAGAGGTATATTCCAGAGCTGATAAACCCAGCTCTACTAGAGAGCCTAATTCTGGCAAAAAAGCCGAATCCTCAATCCAAAACAAAGGATGTCAAGTTGAACCACAAAAGAGCCTGATTTCTGTTGGTAAGGCACCTTCTATTTTCATGTCATCTTCCAGGCATAGGCGTTTTGCACCATCGGCATCATCGATCTCTTCAGACCCGCTAAAGGATAATGTTACAAAGAGAACGAAACAAATGGAAAACATGGGTGAAAGTGATCTTACAGACTTTGATGAAGACGTTGAAGAATCTGACAACCTAAATTCTTTTTTAAGCAATTCAGGGAAGAATAGCTAGTCTATGTTAGTATGGACATTACCAAATATACAACTTGCCTTTCGGTCTACGGCTCTTGGCTTTTATTAAGGTGGCTTCACACCCCTTTTTACTCTATATAAATTTGTCAGCAGCCCGAAACCGGTTCCTGTACAGTATATACAGGTTTCGTGCCTGACCGATTTCTTAACTGATGGATCAGATAAAAACAGTTAAGTTAGACTCGATTACTCGAGACTTGGCATGAAAAAATAGTTTTTTTCCTTTTGATTAGACCTTAGCAAATATGGTAGACTTTTCAATAGAGAACATTTTCTCTATCCAAGTGTTCTTAATTGTTTTGAGAGAGACCTTGGAACTGGCTATTATTGTCTCAGTTTTACTAGCATTTCTTCATCAAAGCTTTAGTAATACTAAAGAGAAAACAAATTCTCGCAATGTCGAAGAGAATAGTCATTCAGGTGAGCATAGAAGACCTGAGGAAGGTTCATCCAGTGCATCAATACTGAGCATGGACGAGGAGTTGCGAGCAGACGTATATACGTTCTTGAAATTGCAGGTATGGATTGGTGGCCTTTTAGGTTTGGTAGCGTGCCTTTTCATAGGTTCAATAATACTCTTTGTGTTTTATTGGTTAGGAAATGACTTATGGTCATCAGCAGAACATTATTGGGAAGGAACATTTTCTATTGTTGCAAGCATCATTATATCTGTAATGGGGGTCAAAATATTGAGGGTGCACAAAATGCAAGAAAAATGGAAGTCAAAACTAGTTACACTCATAGAAAGGTCTGACTACCTTAATAAGGCTCTTAAGCATCATGCAGGATATCGTGAGAGAGCGGAGCTCGGATCAAGGTTCTCTCAATGGAGCGAGAAGTACTCTATGTTCATATTACCATTTGTTACGACCCTAAGGGAAGGTATGGAAGCAATTGTATTTATAGGTGGTATCGGACTTAACGAAAATACGTCTATTTGGGCCATAATTAACTCCTTGGTGCTCGCTATAATAACCGGCTGTTCAATTGGATTATTATTGTATCGCTCGGGAAATAGTCTTTCTTTACAATGGTTCTTAATATCATCAACTGGATTTTTATATGTGGTTGCTGCTGGACTATTCTCAAAAGGAATATGGCATTTTGAGCTACAGAGGTTTATAAATTTATGCGGTGGCTTAGATGTTTCTGAAACTGGACATGGTCCAGGTTCATACGACATTAGTAAGAGTGTATGGCATGTGAACTGTTGCAACGGTGAGCTACAAGACGATGGAGCATTTTGGATGATGGTAACAGCTATTTTTGGTTGGACAAACTCAGCTACTTATGGCAGCGTAATTAGCTATAACATATACTGGATCATTATTATTATTGTATTCAGATCTTTGATCTATGAGGAACGAAATGGATACTTACCCTTAGTACCGCTTAAATGGCAACAATCAAGAATTAATAAAAGAAACAAGAATTATCAGCCACTTGCATCATCTAATGGCAGGGAAAGTGCTGATTCTATTGATTCAGAAACACCTTTAAATGCTTAAACCAATAATTTATTGGGAACTAAATATTATTATATAAAAATAAATACTTCAAATGTTTACGACTCCTAATGATGCCTATTGATTCAATTATTCTTTTCTTGATCTATATCCTCAAACATTTCATCCACAGATGCTCCTAAGTAAATCTTTAGGGTCTTCCTTGTAGCGGGTAATATTCTACTTTTCACCATTATATCTTTGTCACTCTCAGATCTCAATTTATCATAAGCTTGAAATCTGTGGCAACCTCCAAATGCGAAGTAATAAACCTTTCCAGATTCCTTCACTTTAAATACGTCTATTGGTGGTAGCTCTCCTGATTCAATCTCACCTAAGGCACATGTTGCTGATGCTTGAGGTTGTCCCTTCAATGTCGAGACCATAGCGTCTATCTTCTGATAGTCTAAAACCGGAGGAATAGGTCTTCTTATTTGACTCAATGGAACATATTCCACTTTGAGTTGTGAAGACTGGAGGGACATTTTCTAACTGCTTCCTAGCTGCAGTTCTGATCTCCCTCTACGATCCTTCTTCTAGTGCCTTTATAACGTTCAGCAAGCGAATAGAAAGTTTGTAAGCCATAAATCTGGACTTCGCACAATGTGACATACAAAGCAAGCAAATTACAGATTATGAACTATATACATTATTATACCTGATCACTGGTCATAAACCGGGTGCTGGTTTTCATGTCAGATAATTTCTACTTCAATAAAGCATCACGGTAGTATACTAAAGATTTACACTGTGTGACTTCGCTACCCTCTAATAGCATTGTTTTAAAAGCTTAATTAAAATGGGTCGTGTACTCACTTTGTAGTTATCTAGAAAATCAGCTTAACGACGAGAGATCCAAATCATCTCTTGGCAACAGAAAATCCGAGTTCGGCGTAAGTAATTGTTTTTTTTTTTTGCATTGATCTTAGTAGTTATTGTTAATCAATAAAGCACGAGGAGCATATACGAGTCACCTATTTGTCAGGACTGCGACTGTGACAAACTTTATCAAGTCTTGGTTTCCAATACAAATCAGACTTAAAAAGCAGAGCATCAAATACCGAGAAATGTATTTATAATTAGCTGAAAGGAAAGATAGATATAAAAACAAATATTTATTTAACAGCGGCTGGTGATATTGGTATACATTTCGATCAGTTTCACTCATCTTAGACAAGTTTTAATTTTTTTTTCGATTGCTGGCTCCTGCTGTGCTTGGTGTCATAATCAGATTGATCAGATAAGAGAAAAATGTATCACTTAGCCATAAAGGTAGCTATTTTCTTAAGTATCTGTTTAATGATTCTGCTAGCGCCTGTATGGCCAAGGAAGGGAAGAATCAAGAAAGTGAGGAGTACTTTAGGAGTTAGCGTTTTGGCATTTATACTACTTGGGTTCACTCCCGAAAAAGCAGTGAATGGCGCCCCATTTCATCTATACAAAGCTAAAACTGCTTTCTTTAGCTGTAATCTGGTGTCAAGAGCATCTGAATTTTGCGGGAACGAAATTTATGACGTTGCCTGTTCGTGTAAGAACTTTAATGCAATGGCAACTGTTTCCCAATGTTATTTGGTTGGGTATAAAGACGACATAGAATCATTTCTCGAAATCTGTAAGAATGATTTTAATATCAGTGTGACAAGAGATATATTCCACAAAGCTCATGATTATTATATAAATTTCTCACAACCGATGGACCTTACTGAAAGTGAGAGGTTAGCTTTCACAGATCGTCCTTTAAAACTTGAAGATTCAAATATACTATTATTTAAGGAGGCATATGATCAATTTCTTGGTAATTATGACAGATCAGTATATTATGGAGCAATTTTGGTGTTATATTGGATTTTTGTGTTTACCATTGCTTCCATTAGTAATTGGACTGTAAATTTATTTCCCAAAGTAACGAGGACATTAAATGGATCAGTCACTAATTGGTATAGACGTCATATTAGCTTGCCTGCTACTGGACATGCTAAGACGAAAGAGAAACCTTTTTTATATTTCCTCGATATGTTAGTACCGAGCAGACAGGAGACTTTAATAATTGCTATATTTCTTTTACTTGTTTTTGTGTTGGGATCAATGAAAATTCATTATGTTGAAGGAGACCCAATATTTGATACCAAAGAGAGGGCTCTTTTACGGTATGTTGCAGTAAGATCAGGGATTTTAGCGAGTTTTTTACTACCCTTATTAATTTTGTTCGCCGGAAGAAATAATTTTTTACAATGGATTACCCAGTGGAATTATGCAACTTACATCACACTTCATAGGTGGATATCTCGCATAGTGGTTGGCTTAGTAGTCATACACTCAATTTGTTATTCTTATTGCATTCCCGCACCTAGATGGAAAAGGAAGGAGCCTTACCTCATATGGGGAATCATTGCAACTTTTACTGGGATAGTCATTTTGATTCAAGGATTACTTGTTCTCAGAAGAAAATGGTATGAATTATTTTTGTTTGTCCACATAGCTTTGGCAGCTGTATTTATAATAGGGTCTTGGCTACATGTCGAAAATCTTTATTGCTTATGGTTTTATTACGTTGCGGCTGCCGTTTGGGCACTTGATAGATGTATTCGTTTGGCAAGGATTTTTCTGTTTGGTTTTCCAAACGCGGATGTTTTTTTGTTAGCAGATGATACCTTGAAAGTCATTGTACCAACCCCTCTGGAGTGGGAAGGTATCCCTGGTGGCCATGTATTTATTCACTTTTTGGGCCCAACTTGTTTTTGGCAATCGCATCCATTCACCTATACAACTGCTGATGATAATAGGAAGTTAGTTTTATACGTCAAAGTCAAAGAAGGAATAACTTCAACTCTTCGTCAGCACTTAAAAACGTTTCCCGGAAAAGCAACTCAAATCAGAGTTGCCATAGAAGGATCATATGGGGAAAAGAGCCCCGCTGGAAGGTATGATAAAGCAGTATTTATTGCGGGTGGAAATGGTATTCCAGGGATATATGAAGAAGCGGTCGGGCTCTCCAAGAAAGTTGATTTGTCTAACAAGACAATTGACTTAATATGGGTTGTTAAGGACTATAATTCTTTGTATTGGTTCTACGAAGAGTTATTGTCACTAAGAGGGCTGGGAATTGAAACTACTATTTATGTGACCCGCCCAGATTCGATTATTCTTGCTGATGATTTCGGTCTTCGTTTCGGGCAGAAATCTTCTCAGTTGATCGAGCAAAAAGCAAATGCTATGACCCCTTTGATGAATCAGAAACCGCAAAATCATATTTCAGTGAATAAATCCCAAGCGTTTTCCTGTGGTCAAGTTGTGTCTACGACAATATCCGAGCTTTCACATATTAAAATTATAAATGGAAGACCCGATATTAACAATCTCATTAGACAAGGTATCATGGAATCAAAAGGCTCATCCTGTTTTATAGCTTGTGGTCATCCTTCGATGGTAGATGACATCAGAGCTGCTGTAGTATCTAATGTTGGCATTGCAAAAGGAAAAAGAATAGATTACTTCGAACAGCTACAAGTATGGGCATAAGCTTTACAATATCTGTAGTAAATTATCTTAATATAAGGCGCATCTGAATCATATGTACAACTTAGAGTGTTAACTATTAATATCGATAATATATCATCTATGGCTAATCATTACGTAGTAACTTATGAGATATTATATATATAATTGTATTAATAAGAGATAGTAACATGACTCATTAACTAGCGAAGTGGTTCATTTACTCCTTCTAATTAATTTTAAACACTCGTCGGAAAGAGTTAACAATTTTAAAGTGAATGCCGAACTTCACATTCTTCAAGCACTCGTTAGCAATGCACTATAGCTCTAAAAGTTGCAGTGTTTAGTGTGTAGAGTTCCGATTGAATAGCATTTTAAAAAGATGCACTTAGCTGAAATAAACAGGATAATAAGTATTAAAACTTAAAGTTTTAATGAGCAGCTATGAATGAATGATTCTAGTTAATATTCTTATGTGTTAAAACAGCGTACCAAGGTATTGCAAAGATCACAATTTATTATTTTCCCTAACTAACA